AGCCCCCCACCGATGTAGGCGAGCATCTCACTATCATTTTCAAGTTGTTATTATTTTTGTATCCCTTTCCATTCCAAAACAAATGACCGACACGAAAAAGTCCGCGCGCTCTCAATTAAAAGCTACTTACCGGTCGGGGAATTCAGGTGTTTGGATGTATACTGCCATTATTATTGCACACACACACACACACACCTAATCTGACTGGATGGAGTGCGGCACTGCAGCGGGGCACGAAACGAAATAAAAGTTATGTAAATGGGGCGCAATTTACGGCGGCTCGGGTGCAGCAGGTGTCCTCCTTCACCTCCTCCTCCGCCTCCGCTTCCTCCAGGTGGGCCCGGTCGGTGGGCCGCGCACACTTTGCACGCGACGACCCCCGGCCACATTCGCGCGCACGGATCGGACCGGACCCTGCCGACCGGACCCCGGTGTGCCGGTGTGGTGTGCAAGCTCGTTTGGTTTATCGGGACGAGAGCCCGGGCTCCGGCCCGGCTGCCGCGCCCGCTCGGGATTCAAGGCGCACTTAGGGTGCCCCTTTTCGTATAGCACAATGCACTTGAAGTGATTTCAATAAGAGGCGCGCGGATGGCGGAGCGCGGTCAGAGGTTGCCCGGGCGAACAACAGGTGATCAGAGGTCGCGGCGGGAGGGGCTTGGCGTGGCCGTGTGTGTGTGTGAGTGTCCTTTTGGTGCGGTGAAGGGCGTGAACTGCGCCCTCCTGTCCCGCACTGAAAAAAAAATACTGTGGTGCTAAGGACAGGCGTGTTGCTGTGGCTTGTCGTAGGTGGTTGACGTTAGACCAATGACAGAAGCCGGTAGACCAAGGACAGTGTGTCGCTGCCCGAGACGCACGATGGTGCTTCCCCTGGCGGCAGACAGTGCGTGGCTCCATGTTGTAAGATTGGCCAGGTTCCGAAGACGCCGCTAGATGGCATTCAGCATTAGCTCTCGCTGATCACTTTCGTCGTGGTCTCCACTACTTGTCTTGCTCAGACGCTCCGCTTACGAACGCCTCTGACGCGCGCGCTTATTCCTGTCATTTAGGAGTGCACGTGTGGCTGAATTTTTGGCACTTGGGGACAAATCGTCGCCCACTGACAGCATGTCAGAGAGTGCCCAACTTGCGCTGGCTCCCGCCATGCATCTATTGATTGCCGCCATCCAAATTAAATGCTTATATTATTCTGGATCTCTGATACTAAATAGAAAAAAAATATTAGAAATCACTGTACTGAAATCAACGACAAGTTCGAAAGCACGTCCGTATTTCAACTAACTACAAGAATGGCTCACCCCAAAGACACATGTCACTGCCCCAGGGACGTCCGGTCTATAGACCCAACGACATAGCCCAAGAACAGGCTCCAAGAACGCATGTTCTTGAAGCCGATCCAAGAGCAAAATGTTCTTGGGGGTGTTACAGCTGTCCTTAGCACCACAGTATTTTTTTTTCAGTGCGTCCCCCCTCTCGCCCGCCAGCGCTGGTGGCGTGGCCCGCCAGGCCCGCTCGGTGACCAACGTAAAGAACCACTTCCGCTGCTGGCGCGGGGACGGGACGGGTCCGGGGGCCGGTTGGGTCCCTAACGAGGCCCGACCGTCTCGTCCCCGTCCCGCCGGGTCCCGCCGGGTCCCCCCGCACTGGTGCGCCCAGCCCCGGCACAACCGGCACACCGGCCGGTGTCCGGCCGACCCTCTCTTTTAACACCACTTTTATCTTCACCTTTCATTTACTTCTTTTTATTATTCTCTCTCCGCGCTGCTCTGGCCTCTTTGTCTTTTGTCCCGCTCTCTTTCATTCTCTCTCTCTCTCTCTCTCTCTCTCTCTCTCTCTCTCTCTCTCTCTCTC